TGCAATATCGTTTCAAAGGTATGTACTATTTATTTATTTATTTATTTATTTATTTCCTTTTTTTAAAGACAACAGTATATCCAGAAGAAAAGATATCCAAAGATGTTTTTTTTAAACTGTAAAAAAATTTTTTTTTTTTAAACAAATGAAGACAGCAGAAATCAATAATTCAATTGAATTATTTAGCCTGACCATGTTTACTGCTCCAAAGTATTTGAAATGTTTCTCAAAATAAAATATACAGTGTTCAAAATGGAAAAAAGTTTTAGTTTAGAGCAGTAATCACAATACCGTGAAACCGTGATATTTTTATCCAAGGTTATCATACTGTCAGAATCTTATACCGGACCCATGCCCAGCATTAACGTTTCCTCTATTATGGACTCATTCAGTAGCAAGCTTGAGTTTAAGTTACTTAACATTTCTTTGAAAAAAGCTCCTTATGTCCACCTTCTTTTTTTTGTTTTGTTTTGGTGCCACCATTCTCACTTGCATGTGTCACCGACCTCACACACCTTATTTTTACACCGTAAAAATTCGGTTGTTGCTAGATCGGATATGAAATCGACCGGAAGTCACGAGAATTATTTATATTATTTATTAAATTTCCCACTTATTGTTTTTTATTAACGTCTACCCCCAACCCAACCCTCAACCCAACCATCACAGTAATGTAAAAACAGTAGGTCTACCAAGTATGACAAATGTATGATTAAATTACCCAATAATTGGTATTTTTTAACGCCCACCCCAACCCTAAACCCAATTGTCACAGTACTGTAAAAATATTAATTATTGTCATACAGTGTCATAAGAAAATGCTGCTATATTAATGTGCATATCGCACTTCCGGTCGGCCGCCTAACCGATCTAGACTTAAACGTAAAATTCCCGCAGTTTTGGCACTGCTTGCATTTGAATGTACAGTACAGCCATGACAGCAGGGAAAGGCACAGCCAATTACAATGTGCATATTATGTTCATGTAATGTTCATACATTTGGGTAGAGATCGTGATTTAACCCTTTCTGCATGTCTAGGTTAATGTTGACAGCTAAATTTTTAAAAAGTAAATGAATGGTGCAGACCTTTCAATAGTCATTGAATATTGGTGGGGACACGTCCCCTCCGTCCATGCTAATTCTTCACCCTGGTATGTTATTGACTGGTTTTCTTTTGTATGACATTTTCACAGGAATTGTACTGAAAACTGGGAATTTACTGATATAAAGTGTCCAAAATTAAGGTAATATTTCTAAGAACTCAAATTATGTTCATTTTTAGAGTGATCATATATGATACAGGCTTTGATTATATTTCTAGACATTTTATCTAGCTGTTTCTCTTTAAACAATTCACCATGAGACTCATTTTATTATATTTATCTTTAGAAAAGACAATATGGCAAGTGGGATACTTGCCATACTGTCCTTTCTAATAATAATAATAATAATACATTTCAAACTAGTTTAATACACTGTAAAATCCAAAAAGTTAAGGCAACTCAAACCATTTGAGGAAACCGATTGCAACAAACAACTTAAGTTTAAAAACTAATCCTAGTGAGTACTGTAAACTTGATCCATTTGAGTAAATGAAGCAATTTGAGCACAGTAAAACCCAATAAATGAAGAGAACTCAAACCAACATAGTACTGTAAAACCCAATAACATAAGGGAACTCAAACCATTTGAGGAAATCGATTGATTGGTACAAACTATTTTAGAAAAAAAAACTAATCTATATGAGTACCGTGAACTTACTCCATTTAAGTTGAAGTTATGAGGTATTTAATTAACTCATTACTTTCAATACTGAGTTCAAAACTCTTATCAAATGTTTCTTTTCGAAAGTCTTTTCAAATTTCAAAAAGTAGAATTAACTTTCAGTCAATTTTGAGTTAACTACACTCATTTCATTTGATAAAGTTGACTGTTGGGTTTTACACTGTAGTTATTTACCAATTTCATTAGCACACCAAATACCAACTGCAGGGTGGTTTCATCAAGTGAAATGTAAGAATTTTAAAGTCCATTATCAATTAAATTTCAGACTTAAACAGGGCTCAATGTTAAGGATTTTTTTTTATCTAATGGCCTTGTTGGGCCAGCGGAAAAGTCTTTTACTTTCAGATGTGAAATTTAAGACTTTTTAAGACCCCGCGGACATCCTGAATTGAAATTTCCCCACACTCCCTGGAAAAGTCATAGAAATTCATTGGTCAAAAGTGGTAGAAACCTTGTACAAACCAAATGACCATGTAGCATTCTGGCACTGTACTGTTTGACATAATGGTTTTATCTTTCAAAGTAACCTTTTTCTAGCTAAATGTGTACTGTGCAGAATATAGAACAATACATAGTCTATAACATCACTTTAAAAAGCAATTATATATAAGGTACAGAAAATTCATCTTCTGCTGCTATGAACATTTATCACATTCTGGATAAGTGTAGGGTTGCATGATACTGGAAAAATCTGACATTGCAATATTTCGCATTGCTGCAATATATATTGCGATATGAATAAGGATATTTCACCAGATGATTGGCTATATTTGGAAAGATTTCATCAATTTAGATCGACTGAGATGACCGTCTTTTTCTCTGCAGTGCATTTGCATACATTTAAATAAATTACAAGCCAAAATTAATAAACAGTGCTGTTTTTTCATTTTCTGTACTTAAATACTGTTAGACTCCCCAGAAAACCTTAATCAATAGTAAAATGAACATGATCATCATAGGATAAATTATAAAAAAGTCATAAAATTGAGTAATATCTTTTTCTTTTAATCTTTAATAAATAATCTAATCCTGTGATGTGACACTTGCAGATACACACATTGTGATATCGATGCTCAAATGCTATATTGTTCAGCCCTTGTGTGTAGCTTGTATGTAGGAAATGACACTTTTTGATTTGTTTTGAAGTTTTATAATAGTTTCATAGTTGGACATTCAAAACACTTAGGTCTTCAATATCATCAAGTTTGGTCTCCACCTTATATATATATCAAATATACCATAGTGTAGCAGAACTATCACATAATTTAAAAAAGAAAATAAAACATGAAGACGTGAGGGAAAAACTGGACACAAATATAGGACGTGATGAGATGAAAAAGAGGAAAACAAAGCCAGTTAACTGGTTATATTAGCACTGCAAAAAAATACTCCACAGATCTCTCTCAATATTCACTTTGGTCTACATCAAGTCTTTGAATATGGAGCCAGATCAGTCTCAAAAATAATACATTTACAAAATGAAATTCATACATGCACAGCACAATTCACATTTACAAACATCCAATTTGTAGATTTGTAAACATAAATCCTAAATTCACCAGTAAAAATTATTTGTATTTCACAAAATGAATTGGATTTGTGTGTATATGAATTGTGTTTTGAATTTCCGAATTGGATTTGTGTTTTCGAATCATGTTTTGAATTTACGAATTGGATTTGTACGTTTTTTAATTGTGGTTTGAATTAGCAAATTGAATTTGTGCGTATATGAATCACACTTTTAATTTCAAAATTGTATTTGTGCGTTTATAAATTGCATTTTGAATTTACGAATTTGATTTGTGCATTTATGGATCGCGTTTTGAATTTACGAATTGGATTTGTGCGTTTACGAATCACGTTTTGAATTTATGAATTGAATTTGTGCGTTTACGAATCACGTTTTGAATTTATGAATTGAATTTGTGCGTTTACGAATCACGTTTTGAATTCATGAATTAGATTTGTGCGTTTACAAATCGCGTTTTGAATGTACGAATTAGATTTGTGTGTTTATGCATCATGTTTTGAATTTACAAATTGGATTTGTGCGATTATGAATCGTATTTTAAATTTACGAATTGCATTTGAGCGTTAACGAATTACATTTTGAAATTACGAATTGGATTTGTGCATTTACGAATAGTGTTTTGAATTTACGAATTAGATTTGTGCTTTTACGAATCGCGTTTTAAATTCATGAAATGGATGTGTGCGTTTATGAATCATGTTTTGAATTTACAAATTGGATTTGTGCTTTTTCGAATCGTGTTTTGAATTAACGTATTGGATTTGTGTATTTTCAAATCGCGTTTTGAATTTATGAGTTGGATTTGTGCGTTTAAAAATCTTGTTTTGAATTTACCAATTGGATTTGTGTATTTTCGAATTGTGTCTTAAATTTACTAATTAGGTTTTGTGCATGTGAATTTTGTTGTGGGTATATAAATTGTATTTTTGAAATATATTATTTTTGAGACTGATCTGGCTCAATATTTGAATGTGATGATGAAGGACTGAAAAAAAAACACATGCACTGAAAACCTGTGGCCAGACATTTCACAAACAAGACACACAAAATACACAACTGAAAGAGTGAACGGACCACATTGAATGAAGGGCTGAAATAATGTTCCCTTCAAATAAAAAAGGGCATGAAATCTCAACCAGCAGACACTGTAAACCCACACCTCTTTTTTTTTCCATTGCAGCGTTCACATTTGCAGTGCAGGTCAAAGATGGGACGACAAGACGACAAAATGTGAGTGGAAAAGCATTCATTTCTATGGCTCACAAACTATAATCCAGATAAATACAGAAAAATCTGTTAGAAATCGAGTTAAAATGTCCTTGCGTTCTCCTCATGACCACCGGCTGAGGATCAACGGCTTTATTTAGAAAAGCAACCATGACAGTCTTTGAGTGCGATTGGTAGATATAATGCTTGTTTTTTCCAAACGTGTGTAGTGAATTATGTTTTATTAATCTCAGTCTAGAGTCAAGCAACACAAATAGTAGATATCGGCTCCATTACAAACAGAACCAATGTGTTTTTTTTTTATTTAAAAAAGGGTGCTTATTAAATTGCTGCGACTTAAATATCTTTCATTCCTATTCCTTCCTTGCTCTTAAATCACTACAAGCATTGCAATGGCAAAATTTCAAACAAAACACAAACAAAAGCAAAAAACATACTCTATAAAGACAAATACAATCATGATTGCATTCCTTTATTTTGCAACAAACCCAAATTATTTGCTGTATTAGGGACAAAAACCAAACAAAAAATAATAATAATAATAAAGGAAACCTTAGGTTTGTCATTTGGTTGGGGCTAAAGGTGTGTGTTTGTGTTTCCGTATTCGGGGGAACGAACGCAAGAGGGCTGTATTGTAGTGTCAAGTGTCACCGACTGTTTATTTTTACTCGTCTTCGTCCTCTTCTTCCTCCTCTCCATCTGAAAGAGTGGGACAAGCGGCAAGTTGCCGATAACCGTCCAGCCATTTCTCCACCATTTGAGTGACGAGCGGGTGGTTCCGCCTTCTGGAGCTTTTCTGCATGGCCACCAAAACTCCGCCCTCCGTAACACAGCAGTCCATCCACTGCCTCAACATGCGCTCCTGCTGCTCCTCCGTCCCCATCTGACCACACACACACAGTGACCAATCAGAGAGCTCGTCAACGAATATCAATCAATCATAACACAATGCACGCATTTTCATTCTGTAGCAAAATATTCAAAAAGTGCTATGGTACTAGGGCTGCATGATATGGAGCCTTTTCCAAGGTTATAATAGATGTAGATTTTTCATTAGTTTTAGTTTTTATTTTGTTTGACTTTTGTTTTCAAATTCAGTTAGTTTTAATTAGTTTTAATGCTGCGTTCACACCAGACGCGGAACGCGCGTCAAGTGCGAGTGATTTACATGTTAAGTCAATGCAAACACGCGAATAGACATCCTGCAGCGCGATCCGCGCGAATTGCGCGAATGGCGCGGGCGAATTGATCGTTATGCACGTTTGACGCGTTTAACGAGTGTTTCGCGCGAATCTCTCGAGTTCGAAAATCTGAACTTCAGCGGACATTTGCGCCGCGTTAACCAGTCAGAAGCTTGCTCCTGTGGGGGCGTGATTGTGACGTAGAACCTGTTGATGGTGTCCCGGGGGAAATCCTCCAGGCGACACCGACAACAAGTCATCAAACTGGGCTTGGCTCAGTCAGAAGCACCGCTGAAAGTCTCCGTCATCCAGGTTTAGTTTCTGGAGGAGTTTATGAGCTCACAGAGCTGGATGCACCTCTGAAAGGATGTAGTGGACTCAGACAGGACCCTAAACGTATCGACGCTGTTTTTCAGTTTTCATAAAGCACATAAACACTGTTACTTTCTTAATAAAATACATGTTAGCCATTTAGCTATGAAGCTAGAGTCACCGGGCAGACAGAAGCCCTGCCCATCAAGCAAATCCGCATCTGTTTTGAAGTGAATTTGACACACCAATGAAGCGGATTTGACGCGCGAATGAAGCGGGGTTTGACGCGCGAATGAATTTATCCGCGCATTCCGCGTCTGGTGTGAACACAGCATTAGAGGCAGATTTACCAGTTTTTATATTCTGAGACTGCTCAGTTTTCATTAGTTTCTAGGGATGCATCAATCTCGATACTTGCATTTTTTTGCTGAATCGGGTATCGGTCAGCTGGCACCGATCCAAATCCGATCTTGTGCATGCCCTATATTCTGTGTAATTTATAAACCAACAAAAAGCCATAACTTGATTTTAAGGAATGAGCTCTCCATTTTGAGAAAGTGACACACTTTTGCAGGTTATCAACTAGGTTTTGCAGTTTGTACTAATTGATCACTGATACAGAAATAAAACCTATTAATGGACGCAAATATGTAAATTAATACTTTTAAGTGTCTGCTCGGGTCGTATTTAATGTCGTCACTGTGCTGCTGTCCGGCTGTTGTTTTTGTCGCGGGAGCAACAGTGAGAATGACTGGAGGAGAACCGGCTTGATCTGGTGGCCAATCGCATCAGGATTACTGACCCTGAGGTGCCGTACGGGTCAAACACCTGGCAGCACGAAGTAAATAGATTTACTTTTAGAGGCATACAGTAGTCTTATATATTAAACACATTTACAAAGACGAAAACGAAGGACGCTTTTGCTATAATTTTAGTACCTATCAGTTAGTTTTGTATATACACAATACATAAATACTAGGGATGTAACAGTATTGTAAATACCGTCATACCGCAATATAAATTTTTTTCGATATTACCGAAGTCGCATGACTCGGTAAAACTATAGGTCTTCTGAGAAAATTTGCTTAGGCGAATGAAGCGAACGGGAGGTAGCGAAAACTACAATACCCATCAGCCCATGCTTGACCATCATCCCTTGCGGTCTGTTGTCGCTACAGATCCAGTAATGCGGAAATGGAGTGTGCTGCTAGAAGCGGAGATGAAAAGAGCTGGAAAACTCTAAGGCCCCGTTTACACTAATGCGTTTTAGTTTGAAAACGCATAAGTTTTGCTACGGTTACGCCAACCGTCCACACTACGCCGGAGTTCTCGAGCGCCGAAAACGGAGCGTTTCGAAATGTGTGGATAATGTCTCAGTGTGGATAATGGAAAACGTAGACATCTGAAAACGGAGGCGGGGCTGCAGACGTTCGCCTCTCTGATTGGGGCTTTTCCTGAATATTAAGTAGCCTAACACGCACAGTTCAGTCCTGCATCCTCTCCTTGTAAGTTCAGACTTCGCAAGTTTGATCAAGGCTGCAGTCTCTTCTTCTCAGTTTGATATGGAAAACAGACTATACCGAGGACACGGGTAAATCTTCAAAGGGAACAGTGTACTTAATAACTTCATTCACATCACCCTGGCTTCGTTGTTTCACTTTCTCAACAATAAAATGTAAACATGATTTAAGGAACTGCCTATTTTCATTTTAATATTAGCAACTTAGACAGCAGACATGTTGAGGCGTCGTGCTGCATAAGATGAGCGTCATCTTCACTGTGTGGATATTTATAACAAAACGGAGCCGATAACAAATGCCTCCTTTCAATTTCAGTGAAAATAAGAAACACACCCTCTCTTTTGCTGAGTATCAGTTTTAAGAATCGATAATGGCCATTTTAAAAGTATAACATACAATAAGTTTATACATTATAGGAAATAAAGGCAAGCGATCAGTCAATATACAGAATGTACGTGGTTACATTAATCATTAACTTATCTTTGCGCTCATCTTTGCGCTCAGCCAAAACACGTTACCTGAGAACAAGTAATAGATTCCAATGACCAAAGTCAGGGAATATGTCGTTAGATAAAGACAACAAGATAAATGAAATATCCCGTTTAATAAATATAGTGAGATTAGATCCAGCGGGAGATGCTTGATGAGAAGTCCGACTAGCAGAGCTCTCATCTGTGTAGATGGGCTGAGTGTGATTAAATGTTGAATGTGATGAGTTTTCAACAATACTAAATTGAAACTTTATTGTTTTTACATGGTTTAATAATTTTTTGTTATTAAAATTGAAGTTCCTGTTTCAAAGCTTACAGATAGATGGCTAATTTGTATGTCATTGACACTTTTGGCACTTTTTTGGAGTATTTTCATAAGTTTTGTTTTTTCCTGTAAATGATTCAATAAATACCGTACCGTGACATTCATACCGAGGTATTACCGTACCGTGAAATTCTGATACCGTTACATCCCTAATAAATACATTTACAAAGACGAAAACGGAGGATGCATTTGCTATAGTTTGGGTTAGTTTCAGTTTGTTTTGTATGTACACGATAGTTTCAGGTAGTTAGTTTTTTTTTTAAAACTAGTTTTTACTTTTATTTCAGTTAACAAAAATGTTGTTTCAATACTAGGTTGAATTTTTTCGTTTGTTTTCGTCAATTATAATAACCTTGTCCTTTTCACAAGACTGTAATAACATGTTTAACGATTTAAAAAAAACAACAAAAAACTATGTTTATTTATAATATCATCTTTGCATGAAATTACAAAAAACGAATTAGCGCTTGTGCAAAGTGTTTCTAATGCAGTGTCTATGGGGGTAGGACAGTAAATTTGACATCTTTCTCTCTTCTGGCTGCCGTTATCGGTCTCACACTTTTTTTTTTTATAATGTTAAAGTCTTGATAATACCAATGTTAACTTTTCTTTTATTATTTCAGCATTTAGGATTGTAAAAAAAGTATTTGTTGTACTTTCCCATTTACTGTGCTTTCTGTTTAAGTGTGATGACTTCAACTATGACAACTTCCGCTAATGATAAACCTGGAAATCTGGAAAGGGTCTATCGGGAAAAATGTACACTGCATTATTTATACATTTTGCAATATGACATCTATTTAACCCAATTGCAGTGATTGTTTTAATGTAGTGCATGCATAAATATAATTATAAACTAGGTAAATACAAAAAAAAAAGCATAAAGAATGTATTGTTAAGTCTTATAAATAGTCAGACACAGATGTTGAACAATAATAACAATAAAACATGTTATTTATAATGCGCTTTTCTAAAACCCAAAGTGCTAGCAATAATCAAATAACACTTCTCTATATTTATGAAATGCTATTATTATTTGTTAAAGCTCAAATTTAATCATGAATGCTTTAAAATTATGTTAATACAGTACAATTGAAATGGTTTTTAAAAAACTAAAAACTGCTTTTATTGTAGTCGAAATAAAACAAATAAGACTCTCCAAAAATACACATATATTGAGAAAATACTGAGTAAAATTCCTTGCTTTGCTAATGATCGTTTGGGGGAAAATGAATAAATAAATTCACAGGATGGCTAATAATTGTGACTTCAACTGTATGCAAATAAGTCCATATTCTTTACATAATGTCTCATTCACATATAGGAACACAACATATCAGAAAACTTTCCATGCTTTACTGTTGTCTTACTGTGCTGTAATTAAACCACTCTGGAAAAGAATGTATTATTAAAGAATTTTACCCCATTCCTGTTGTGCCTCAAACAACTACAAAGCAACATAAACAAAAAAGATTCTATTTGCATGCTGTTGTTGTTTTTTCTTTTTCACACTGAACATTCAGACACAGTAAAAACAGGCCTTAACGTCTCATAAATATGCACACTCTGCTGAGTTGTATTCTCATGTTAGCTCTCACCTCTTGTGCAGACAGAAAGTGGATGTGCAGCAGCTTTCGCTCGCTGTCAACCAGTGGCAGGAAAGTGACCGTGACGTCGTCGTCTGTGTTCAAGTTGGCGCCTGCACCTCGATTATCGTAGCCGTCGTTCTCCATCGCAACCAATGCAGAAAAGTGCCCTCGTGTGTAACCCAGAGCAATAGGGCTCTTCCAGCAGAAACTCTGCTCCCACAACAGCGGCAGGTAAACACCTACAAGATAAGAGCCAAAGCAAATAGTCATTACTGTTAGGGCTGCATATTATATCATTTCAGCATCAACATCACATTGTGTGCATCAGCAATAGTCACATCACAAGATATGCAATGTTGAGTCTGAATCATAGTTGACCAGAAACTACAAAATTCTAATTAATTATTGTATTTATACAAAATTTATACAACTGTATATTTTAAACTATATAATTTTTCTCATGTTTGTAGTCCAATTATCTACATTTCAAAGCAATAAACAAGATTATTTTACTTACCACAATGGCAGATAATTTAGCTTGTTTAAAGGAAAAACTCTTAACTTTGACTTATTTATTCTAAAGTTGAAAACAAAACTAGTATTTCTTACTTTATAAGGATTTTTTGATATTTGGACTAGAATTGAGACAAAGCAAAGAAAGAAAAGCATTTTTTTGCATTGTGATTAGTCAATTTTTGTACATGAATACTGCTAGACTCCCCAGAAAACCATCAAGTAGAGCTTTTCAACTGTCTTGTGAAATTGTATTTATATCACAATATTTATTGCAGAAAAATAATGCATCGCAATAATCATTTTTTTCAATATCTTACAGCCGTAATTACTATTAATATTTATAACAGTGCAGTGTTATTAATTATTGACTGGTTTATGTTATTTTTGTGTGTGTCTGTGTTGCGATATGTATTTTTCTGTAACTCTTGTCTTATGCCGCCTGTCTTGACCAGGACTCCCTGGTAGAAGAGATATTGCATCTCCATGGGACTTTCCTGGTTAAATAACTAAATTAATAAATAAATAAATACCAGGGTGTCCGCAGGGTCTTAAAAAATAAAAAAAAATGTCTTAAATTTTTTTAAAACAAAATTGTAGGCCTTAAAAAAAAGTCTGAAATTCAGTGAAATGTTGTGTTCTAGGTCTTAAATCATAATATTCCTCTGTCCAAGAAAAGCTACTCTGACATCCATCTAATCACTAACAATCCAACTCAAAAAAACTTTTTTTAATATTTAAGTTTTTTTTTTTTATTGCAAAGAGATTTAATTCACAACAGCTGTTAGACATTTGTACAACAAATTCTCTAAATTAAATTTCCCAATCAAGTAAAAAAAACTAATAACAGTTACACATTTTTTTCATGATAATAACAGAGCAACATATCCCTTTTTCATAAGTGGTCTCAAACTGCCGGCCCATGGGCCATTTGTGGCCCTCCCTCCTTTTTTCCTCCAGTCCACAACTGACTTCAAAATATGAGATTCAGCCCACCAAACCATATATTTTGAACCACTATTATTGCTGTGTAGACGCATATGGCCATTTGTGGTTTTGACCCCCTACCTACTGGTCATTTAAAGTATTGTAATATTGTACTATTACCCCGGTTACTTTCAGTTTCTCTCTGCACGCGGTCAAGAGTAACGCACATGCAGATAATCCCTGGGGCTGATTTAAATGTTGAAATATATGTCTAAGTGCTGTATTTTTACTAAAGCTCTATTTTGTAAATATTCAAGGATCATTTGATTATAATAAGTTTTATACCACCTGCATTTTGTTGTACAAACACGTCTTCATGGCTTACACGTTATGCTGGTGGTGTTAATATGATCATTTTCTAATATTTGATTCAAATGGTCTCATTTATTAGATTTTGTGCTCCGGTTTCCCCCACAGTCCAAAGACATGCGGTACAGGTGAATTGGGTAGGCTAATTGTCCGTATGAGTGTGTGTGTGTGTTTGTGTATGGATGTTTCCCAGAGATGGGTTGCGGCTGGAAGGGCATCCGCTGTGTAAAAACTTGCTGGATAAGTTGGCGGTTCATTCCGCTGTGGCGACCCCGGATTAATAAAGGGACTAAGCCGACAAGAAAATGAATGAATGAATAATAATAATATGCCTATTATTAAATTGCTATATTTTACATAGCAATTGAAACTACCCATTCAATGTATAGGTGTTATATATTTTAATTATTTATGTAATTTTCTCCATAATAAATATACTTTTAACAATGTAAAAAGTATATTTATATATATATAAAAAGTTTTCTCGTTTTGCCATTAAATAATGTCTAAGAAAAAACTAAATTTGATTTTTTTTTTTGTGGCAAGCAAAAAATAAATAAAAATCCTTTGTCCCAACCAGGTCATTCAAAAAAATCCTTAATGTCTAGCCCTGTGTAAAATTTCATTAATAATGGTCTAAAAAGGGTCTTTAAAAGTTTTAATTTTGACTTGATGAAACCTGCAGAAACTATGATTACGGGAACTGACCCCAAAAACCACTCCTGCAGTCAGCAGAGTGTTGACAGAGATTTATGGATTGGTTCTGCTGGCAGTTTTGTCATTACAGTTGCAGTCTGTCGGTGGCAGATATAATAGATCACACATTTCTTGACAGGGCCAAATGGCCTAGAGAATACTGCTAATGTATGTACACTATTAATTACTGTAAACACTTATATAATGAGTGTAAGACTGGCTTATAGAGTAGCACTCCGAATATGCATTTTGCCATTTGTTGACTTGTTTCATTTAGATTTGTAGTTCATTAATTTTCCTTTGGCTTAGTCCCTGATTTATCAGAGGTCGCCACAGCGAAATGAACTGCAAACTATTCCGGCATTTGTTTTACACATCGGATGCCCTTTCAGCCGCAACCTCGCATTCACACACACACTATGGCATTTTAGTTCATCCAATTCACCGCATGTGATTGGTCTGTGGGGGAAAGCAGAGCACCTGGCGGAAACTCCACACAAAAATGCCAATTCGCCAAGCCGGGACTCGAACCAGCGACCTTCTTGCTGTGAGGGAACAGTGATAACCACTGAGCCACTGTGCCACCCCTAAATTTGTAGTAAATAATAATAATAATAATAATAATAATAATAATTATATATATATATATATATATATATATATATATATATATATATATATATATAGGAGTAAAGTGTCATATTTGTTTTTTTCTACAGATATTTTGCAAAGTTCCTAATAAAATATTGTTATTTAGAGCATTTTTTTTTCAATAAAATAATTGATCAGAATTTAATGCATTTAAAATCAAATCAATATTAACTTTTTTAACATTTTTGAAGTTTAACTTTTACTTCTACTAAAACTATTGTGTGTTTCTTAACTTTTTAGCTGCAATGTCACTATCATATGGCAATCTGCTTTAGATGAGCAGTAGCCATTAAAGAAATAGTTAGCCCAACCAACCACATGAAGCTCAAATATGACCTCGAACCTCAAAACATAAGTTGCACAGCTATATTTCTGGCAATAGCCCAAAATACATTGTGACCCTGTATGGGTCACAATGATACATTTTAAAGTGACACTTTACAATGAGGTTGTATTAGTTCATGTTAGATAATGCATGCACTAACATGAACAAACAGTGAACATTACATTTACTACAGTATTTGTTCATGTTTGTTAATGAAAATAAAATCATTCATTGTTAGTTCATGTTAACTTGTGGTTCATTAACTAATGTTGGAAAGAACGAGTTTGGATTTCAAAAATGCATTAGTAAATGTTGAACTATGATTAATAAACACAGTGGAAGTACTGTTTATTATTAGTTCATTTGAGTAAATGTTATTGTAAAGTGTGACTCATTTTTCTTTTATGCCAGTAATTATTAGAATATTACGTAACGATCATGTGACTTGAAGAAATTTTGTAAGTTTCCTACTGTAAACATACCAACATTCAATATTTGCTTAGTAATATGCTAAGCACTTTATTTAGACAATTTACAGGAGATTTTCCTCATTATATCAATTATATTTTGAACCTTTAGATTTTAGACTTTAAAATAGTTGCATCTCAGCCAGATATTACTCTATCCTAACAAAGTAAACGTCAATTGAAACCTCATTTATTCAGTTTTATGTCATTTTTAAATCTCAACTTTCTAAAAATTACTGGTTTTGTGATCCATGTTCATGCATATCTACACATTAGCAAAGTGTGCGTAACGGCAGCTCACCCTGAAAGCGTGTGTATCCCAGCGTCTCTCCTCTGAAGCTCTTATAATATTTCACACCATACACTATGATGGGCCTCCGAAGGATGTGTGCCAAAACAAACACATGCGTCTGCTCTAAACTGGCACCCGGCTGTAGACATGAAACAAGAATAGAGACAGGGAGAGAAGGAGAAAGAGTAACAACATTACATGATTTGATTTACAAAGAAAACCTCAATGCTTTGTTAAGCATTAACTTATCTAAACATTTCAGGACAAGCCCATTTTGCTGTCATAATATGGCATCTTTCCCCAATGAAAAAAAGGATATTCAGTGATATTTTCAAATCAAAAAAAAAAAAAAAAAAAAAAAAAGGATTGTTTAGAGCTGGAGTTTTTACATCTTAATGAAAGCTTATGAAGACAAACTTTATAAGAAATTCAAATGCACTGATCAATTGTCCACAAATATAACTCAAATGTGCTTACCAAAGTAAACAGCAAGGGTTTTGATTTCTTGTTTACTTTAAGCAGAAATGAAACTGTCAAATTCTGCAATTAATAAATTTGTGATAATTTATTTGCAGATAAAGTGGGAGAAACTGCACTCTTGCTCATGTAAATATACCATATCACATAAATATAAAAAACAACAACTCACTCAGGGCATTTCTGCATCCATATCATAGATTTTATGGTCATTAAACTGCATTTTCATTGAATTCATCCAGCAGTGAATGCTTGTGGTATTTAAAACCTGTGCAGTTCTTTATTATCGCATATTGGTGAACAGATTGGTTAGAATCGATTGCCTTTTCAGCTTCAATGGTTATTCATGGCGACATAGATGCATTTTAAAATAAGCTTATAACAGGATTCCCACTCTAAGCTAAATGTCAAACTTTCTTAGTTTTTCCTGACTTTCACTGACTAAAAAGCTGAATTTTAATGAACAGGAAAAAAAAATAGACAGCTGTTTTGTTGCAGACACACAGAATTTTACACATTAGGCATAAAATGATAACAGAAGATGCTATAGAACAATAACATTTTACAAAAGTAAAATTTGAAAAGACAAATAGGCCTGTCGTGATATCTATTTTTTTTTGTACGATATATTGCACCAAAATATAAGCTATATGTTATGCCACTCATTATATAACACCAGAATGACAATATAATATCATCACAATACAAGTACACTCTTTCAAAGAACACGTCATATTTTAGTCTTAAGAATATTTAATTTAATTATAGTCATTTTAACAATGTAATAATCAGGCATTGGAATCAGAATGTGTAAGAGCATATCCTAAACAAAAAAATAATAATAATGTTACCAACAAAGTGCAAGGTAAAAAGTAACAGAGGCTGTGATATCTGCTACCAGATCTATTTTCAGTTGTCAGACAACCACATGAAAATAAACTATAGTAATTTGTAGTAAATACTATAGTGTTTTTAACCATACTCACACTGACAGCTCTAATAGAGATAGAGATGTTGCACAATCAGCTAAAATATTGCTAGAATTGTTTTTTAAAAATGTCGATATATAATGCATTACCAAAAATTAGGGCTGTAACGATACACGATATAAAATCGAAATCGCGACACTCAGATCTACGATCCTGTGTCGCGGTGTAATAAGGAAGAATCGCGACACACCCATCTCGTGATACCTTTCCAATAACGTCACGCGTGCCTGCAAAAGTTGAGCTAATTAACACTTTTTTTCGTTCGACATTACAAGCACTGCTCCGTTTAAGCCCTCGCAATATTTAGCCGGGAGAGCTCGCACGGAGCTCTTAGTAAGGGGCCGTCTGAATGTGTCAAGAATATCAAAAACAAAACCAACTTAACCCCGCTTGACAACCGACAACGCCAGAAACATTGCCAATGCTGTCAAAGCGGCCGGATTTTCAGCGCATATACGATGATTTGCTCACAGTTAATGTGGCTGCACAGGATGGGCGTTCACCAGATGTCAGGTAACAGCCAAACTTTTCTGTAACCGTGCTGTGCGCTTTCTGTTTGAACCTTTGAGAGTGCTGACTGACAGGTGCATGAGGTCAGAAAACACGACGAAGCTTTCAGTTAAGATGAACACAGTCTCTATAGTTATACTTTATTTAGAGATAAAGGTATATGGCTCTGCATAATCACACTATCTTGCTGGAGTTAAGCCGTTTCGCTTTACTTCAGGACGCATTAACACCGCTCTGAAGGTCTAATCGTTGTTTTAAGTTATCCAGAGCTGTATGAATATACAAATCTTGAATATCACAATAGTATTAAATATTACAGTTGTAACAACACAGACAGCAACACTTTTGCACAATCGATACCCAGCTGATTCAGTCGTTTATAAGAGGACCGCGCCTCTTCTCTTCTTTTTTCCTTGTCAACATAAAGGCAGTGCGGTGCGCCTTGTTTTCGGCCCCTTGTTTAACTGCAAGGCATACTTAATTTGCGGGCCGATAACGTATAACCCGTGCCTACAGACACATTTGCTAAAGAATCAAAATGGAAGAAGAATATTGCTGTTTGATACAGACCTGTTGATACTAAACCAGCCTTATGTTGACCTGGATCTGCGTAATGAACGCAACAAATAGGCTTTACTTTTTATTTTACAGCTTAAAGCATGTACGCAGATTAATGCAATATCATATTTAAACAAACTGTTTACAAAAAGTCAACATATGCGCGCGTGTTGTTGTCTTTTCATCAGGCAGCACGCGCACTTGAACCGCGAGGGAGAGAGAGGAAACCATAGGCTATATCAGGACATAATCTTTAAAATAAGGATTTCTATTAAAATGTAAAAGGTTTTGTGATTATAATAATAGCAGCGGGGCATTAAATAAATGCATATTTTCCGTGGAGCAAGCAATTTGAGGAAGTCTGCGATTTTTGTTTGACGGAAGAAATAAACATATGATTGGGGAAAAAAAGCCTATGCCGGTTATTAAAAAGAATCAGTCAGTATTTTCGTTTTGTAAAATAAATTATTTAAGTGAAAATAATTTAGGGCAGTCCTATTTATTTTATTCATTTTATTTAGATTATTCTGCTCTTCTGTGCTAAACACTGCAGGTGCGTGAAGATGCTCTGTTGTTCTGTTCCGCTATTAATATATAAAAATAAATCAGTATTTTAAAATGCAATATTTAATGTGTCATACACAAAATAGACACGTCAATTTGTTTAATATAAAATTAATAGTAATCTGACCAGTTAACCGTTAATAACCGATTAATGAGCGGCGGTTGTCGGTTAGCAAAATTAACGAAATGAGCATCCCTAGCTATTTAATTTACTTTTTCTATGCAAGAGAACTTGATTGAAAAATAATTTTCAACATGCTTGAACCATCTAAACAATGGAGTTTAGTTTGGTTTTTCAACAGTATTTTGTTACAAAGAAAACAGAAGTGATATAGCTTTGGCTATTTATTTATTTTATATATGGCTATTTATATTGTTAATAATTTGCATAGTTAATATTGTTCTTTGATGTTTAGTTTATAAAGATTTTTCCAATGTTATTTAATAAAAAATAGTTTAAAAAATCTTTTCTTTTCCCACCCCACACGAAAAAAATAAAATAAAAAATCGTGATACGAATCGAATCGTGGGTCAAAAATCGTGATACGAACCGAATCGTGGGTTTGGTGTATCGTTACAGCCCTACCAAAAATGATTGAAGTTATGTCCATGTGCTGTGCAATAAGTTGATATACTGATTATTGTGACATGCCTAGTGATAAATATTTTTGTTTTTGCTGATAGTCCATGACTTTAACAGAAAATAAGATATAATAATAATAATAATTAAAAAATTTCCCAGACTGCCAAGGTCTGGTATAGAGCTTTTTTTTTTTTTTTAATTCAATGATATTCCAGAAATGCAATGATCCATGGGAACCCTGTTATAAATAACACATTTCTGTAATTCACAGATTCAAAACAAACAAACAAAAACACCAATAACAATAATAATAATATATAATATAAAACACTATATATAAAAATATTTTTTATTTATTTGCTTTTGATAGAAACTTAACCATTTTTAATAGATCCATATTTAAAAATAAGTCTTTCAATTTTTTTCCCAGCACTGTCTCATTGTCAACATTAAAAATAGAGCTCGCACATTGTTAAAACAACAATTCTAATATAGCAGACATTATTATAGGAGACATCACAGTAGATATTAAGTCGCACACTCCTAGCTCCTCTACTTTTCCATCTTAAGATGTCTGTTGCACCTTAGATAAAATACCTGAGCGAATATGTAATGTTTATTAATTCATTAATTAATTTTCTTTTCAGCTTAGTCCCTTTATTAATCAGGGGTCGCCACAGCGAAATGAACCGCCAACTTATTCAGCATATGTTTTACGCAGCGGATGCCCTTCCAGCTGCAACCCATCAGTGGGAAACATCCACACGCACTCATTCACACACACATACACTACGGAGAATTTAGCCAACCCAATTGACCTGTACCACATGTTTTTGGACTTGTGGGGGAACTGGAGCACCCGGAGAAAACCCATGCAAACACGGGGAGAACATGCAAACTCCACATAGAAATGCCAACTGACCCAGCCGGGGCTCGAACCAGCGACCTTCTTGCTGTGAGGCGATTGTGCTACCAACTGCACCACCGTGCTGCCCCATTGATGTATATATAAAATAATAATATTACTAATAATAATAATATTAATTGTATTATTTTTATGCCATTGTTAGAATCATCCCCTGGCAGGATTAGATGCTTTTGAGGCCATATTCAAGCATTTGACATCTCTGGCTGCATTTACAATGCATGGTTGAAGTGACCCAATTCCGATTTTTTTTTTCTCCCATGTGGCACAAATCAGATATGGCCCATGTACGTTTTTGTATTTCATCTTCCGGGTTTAAAATTATTATTGGGGCGGGATCAAAATCAGTGACATAGCGCTATCTGCCTATGCAGTGATGACACATCGGTTTCTCATTATTATTTATAGACTGAGTGTTCTTATCCTATGAGAAGACCCTGCTTCTTAAATATTCATGACTGCACATGCTTTCCGATGACAGACTCATATGGACAGACTATAAAGATCTGCAGTGTAAATACATCTAAGCTAATGGAAACATGCTATAGGAAGTGCTTAAACCTCTGTCTTAGCCCTTGTGGGATGTGTGTGTATCAGTATGAGTCAACCGAATGCAATTTCAAAAGGTGGTGAAACATTCAAGTTTCCCCACAATCTATCAGGCGTTATATATCTTGCTGCTTTACCTGACTAGCTAATGACAGTATAAACGCCCAGTCCTCCTGCCACTGCTCCTCCCGCAGAGAGAAGTGCAAACCGAAGCTCTGAGAATACCAGGACTCCCACTCTTTCCACCGTGTGTAGAACCTGGAATACACACACACACACACACACACACACACACGTTATATCAGTGATAAAATACACAGATACACATTAATAAAACATAAACACATTGATAACACAATGGAGTTCAATGGTGTTCAGTGTCCCACAGGCCCAAGTTTGGGTATCTCTGTTCTATATGGCCACAGCCATATCACTCTGCAGCCCAAGACCGATTACTCACTGAAGCTAAGCAGGGCTGAGCCTGGTCAGTACCTGGATGGGAGTCCACATGGGACTAGGTTGCTGTTAAAAGTGATGTATAGTGAAGCCAGCAGGGGGTCTGTGCTCAACCTGTAGTCTGTGTGAGTCCTAATGCCCCAGTATAGTGAAGGGGACACTATACTGTCAGTGAATGTTGTCTTTTGGATGAGACGTTAAATCGAGGAGACTCTCTGTGGTAATTAAAAATCCCATGGCACTTCTTGTAAAGAGTAGGGGTGTAACCCTGATGCCTAGCCAAATTTTCTCCATTGGCCCTTACCCATTATGGCCACCCAATCATCCCCATTCACCGAATTGACTCCATCACTGTCTCTCCACTCCACCAATAGTTAGTGGGTGCACTGGGGCCGTTGTCCTGTGGCTGCCGTCAATCATCCAAGTGGATGCTGCACACTGGTGGTGGTGTGGAGAGACCGCCCTCATGATTGTGAAGCGATTTGGGTGTACTGTATAAATACAAATTACATTACATATATAGTATGAATGTGAGTTGTATGAAGGAAATTCTGAATGGAGTGGAATTAATGCAATACTACATCTGCCATTTGTCATTATTAGTCGCATGACATATCTCGCAGGTCATCCGGAGTACTTCCTCCCTACTGTTTTTCAAATACTATAGCTGCGTCCCAAATCGCATACTTATGCACTATTCTACGCCATTTTGTAGTATAAATAGTGTAAGTAGTGTGTTCACACTGAAAACTCTTAAAATAATAAGTGCACTTTAATTACCCGGATGATGCACTCATTCAGCCGCTAAAATGAAGTGTGTAATGATGGACACTTCACGCACTCAACGACCGCAGGTTTGCTTACTTAGCGGAAGGGGCGGAGCTATCGGACGCACATGTTGAATAACTTTATTTATTTTGGATGGAGAAAGCAAAATTCTCCTACGAGAGTGATTATAGCGCCTCCCGAAGGTGAATGCGGCAATACTCACGATAGGTATTATTTGATCATTCAGTCGTTTATTTCACTGATTTGGCAACCGTCAAACGTCATCAGGGAAACGGTTTGAATTTCCGTTTAGTAAAAAACATTAGTGTGCCATTTGGGACAACACTACATACATGTACTATCCTGTTGAGTGTGTAAGTGCATAAGTACATAGTGCATGAGTGCATAGTGTATAGTGTGCCATTTGGGACGCAGCTTATGAATTCTGACATACTACTTGGCTCACATAGTGTTATTCAAATACTATTTAGTATGGAGGTAAGCGATTTCGGATGCAGCCAAAATAGCACATGGACTAGAAGAAAACATGGCGGATGCTGACCAATAGGTTGTATTCCTTTGAATCTCAAATTCCGTTTCAATGCATAGGCTCTTTCACATTTTCTGTAGATTTATTTCCTTATTTTTTATTATGTCAAATCTAATCATTGACTTTTACAATGCTTTATTAACATTTATACAATAAAACTTCATTTATATTGTTCTGGATGCATTTTTTTCTGCAATTAATTATTTAATACAGATGTTCTAGCAAAATTGGTAGTAATTATTTAGCATGTAAAAGCATAAAACTTTTTATTATTATTCTTTCACAATTTGAGTAAAAAAAACTACTTTTATTTTAAAAAATTGTTGTGAATTTTTAAATTTCAGTGAAGATTTATGTCATATTGTGGTTTGTTGAAGTGTACAGTACGGATATATTCTATATATATTTTTTTTAAGTTAGACCTTCTATATAATACAGCAAAATTCATTTTTATGACTGGGTTTTGCAATATCGTCCATTAATCCAGACAGAGCACTAATATTTTTTCATGGACACAGACAATGAGTTAAGGATTATTACACCTCACTTTAAAGGGTTAGTTTATGAAAAAAAAAAATCTGTTATTAATTACTCACCCTCATGTATGTGTACATACAACATATTGCCATTGGAGTCCGCAGAACATCATGCAATCTGTATTTTTGATTCACCTTGAGTTGATATGGTACACAAAGGCGATCAAAACCATTTTTTCTGCACAAAAGCGTTTTGGAGCTTTGTATGATTAGTTGAACCACTAAAGTCACATTTTTAAAGTGTTTTTAATTCCTTTTCCAGAGGTTCCTTTCCTCTTCCTTCGTTGGAGGATGAGGGAGCTCTCTGATTTAATCTTAAAATATTTTAATTTGTGTTCTGCATATAAATGAAAGTGTCATGATATTGAAATGAAATAAGGGTGAGTAATTAATAACAGAATTGTAATTTTTGGATGCGAGTTAACCCCTTATGAAATGCTGCTCAATGGCATCCCAGTGAAACCCCACTATTGAACCTTTATATTTAAAATATAGGGTTCATGGAAAACCTGGAACAGTCATGCAATTTTTACATGGCATTTTCCAGGCCTGGAAAAGTTTTGGAACAACAGAAAAACTCATTAAGTTTTAGAAAAGTCAAGCTAATTAGTTTAAAATATCTGTATACTTGAATATAGGTTAGTTGTCTTCTATTCTGTACTTGGCCAAAAATGGTGGCACGGTGACTCAGTAGTTAGCACTGTCGCCTAACAGTCAGAAGGTCTCTGGTTGGAGTCTCAACTAGGTCAGTTGGCATTTCTGTGTAGAGTTTGCATGTTTTTCCGATGTTGGCATCCAAAGTCCAAAGACATGCGCTATAGGTGAATTGAATGAATGAAATTGGCCTTAGAGTATGAGTGTGTGCGTGAATGATGCATGTTTTATGATGCTGTAATAAATTTGAATGTACATAGTTTTTCTTATAATTTAGCACATATACTTAGACAGGAAACATCAGGTCATGAAAATTTACTTGAAAGTCGTGAAAAAGTCCTGTAATTTTAATAGTAAAAATGACTTTGCATCTTACCAGTGAGAGCAGTCATGTAAACTATCGTTGAGGCTTTTTCTCAGGACAGAGTCTTTATCGTAAATTCCCCACGTGGCCTGTAACACAGAATCCAGAAGGCAATCTCCGGCGGTTCGGTTCCACAGAGCGTATAGCCGGCTGTCCAGACGCGTGCCCAGCTCCAGAGACCAGTTAATAATGGGAGACTCCTCTTCCAGCTCTGGAGAATAAATCAGTTTCATAACCTGTTTCTTTGTACATTCACTGATAAATGTTGATACTGCTAGCTGCAAGCTGCTCTTCAGGGATTCAACCAAAATAGACCAGCTAAGGCAGATCAGCTTTTTTAGATCAGCTTCTCAACTAGTGGGTCGTGACCCAAAAAGAAGAAAAAAAAAAGCATTCTAATTGGGCGGAATACTAAATGAGAGTAAGCAATTTCAATCAACCATATAATTGTGACAAATTAGGGCAGCAAAATGAAATAGCCTGATTATGTTTTAAACATGGGAACTAATTAATATATTTTTAAGTTAATGTCAGACACAGAAACAGAATATCTTTATACACAGTTTATACACAGAATATACGCTATTATACACAGTTTAAGTCAGAATTATTATGGAGGACCAGAAGTGCCAGTTAGAAATAAAATGAAGAATCAAATTATCAATTTAATAATCGAAGCATATAAATGTACACTACCGGTCAAAAGTTTAGGGTCAGTTTTTTTTTTAATGTTTTGTTTTTTTGTTCATCAAGGCGACATTTATTAAACGAAAAAATGGTTAAATTGTTAAATATTTATTAACATTTTAAATAAATGCGTTCTTATTCTATGTAGTTTAAAATTAAATTATTACTCCAGTCATCATTGCTTTTATTACTATTACCATTAACAATAATAATAATAATAATAATTAATATTAGAGTGATTTTAGAAGGATCGTATGACTCTGACTAGAGTAATGAAGCTGAAAATTCATCTTTAAAATCCCTGTAATAATTTATTAAATTAAATTAATATCTACTTTTGAACAGTTATTTTATAGCTCAATAACATTTCACAATTTAACAATTTGTACTGTATTTTTGATGAAGTAAATGCAGCCTTGGTGAGCAGGAGAAGCTTATTTTAAAACATTTAAAAATCATACTGACTCCAAAGTTTTGACAGGTAGTGTTAGTAAATAAATTTAAATGAACAAACAATGGACAAATAAATAGACCTATTTAAATGTGTTCATTTCAATTTTGTTTTAAAATGTCCTTTAATAACACAATGCCTTTACAAATAACTTTTTAATGTAGAAATAACTGCGACCCGGCCCTGGAAAAATCGGTTGAAAATGAATGAATGAATGAATGAATAATAATAATAATAATAATTCCTTACATTTATATAGCGCTTTTCTGGGCACTCAAAGCGCTTTACACACAATGGGGGGAATCTCCTCATCCACCACCAGTGTGCAGCATCCACCTGGATGACGCGACGGCAGCCATTTTGCGCCAGACCGCACACCACACACCAGCTGATTGGTGGAGAGGAGACAGCGATGAAGCCAATTGGAATATGGGGATGGTTAGGAGGCCATGATGGACAAAGGCCAGTGGGCAGATTTGGCCTGGATGCCGGGGTTAAACCCCTACTCTTTTCGAAGAACATCCTGGGATTTTTAACGACCACAGAGAGTCGGGACCTCGGTTTTAACGTCTCATCCGAAAGACGGCGCTCACTGAGCAGTATAGCGTCCCCGTCACTATACTGGGGCATTAGGACCCACACAGACCGCAGGTTGGGCGCCCCCTGCTGGCCTCACTAACACCACTTCCGGCAGCAACCTAGCTTTCCCATGTGGTCTCCCATCCAGGTACTGACTGGGCGCAGCCCTGCTTAGCTTCAGTGGGCGACCATGTGAGAGTTGCAGAGAGCTAGCTGCCGAATGAATGTATACATAAATAGACAATTTTAACAATATTTATTTAATTCATGTTTAAACACAATGATTAATCAAACAATAGTAAAAGTATATGTATAGATCATTTTAAATGCATTTAAATAGATTTTTTTAAAAAGCCATTTGTTTCTCTATGTCACTTGTTTGTTTTTTTCTTTTGTCACATGCTTTTCTTGAGTTGAAAATAAATCGAGCTTAAAGATGCCGTTGGACAGGCCACACATGGGGGCAACCAATTAACTTTCACCTCAAGTCGAGCTAAACCCTCTCTCGCTTATAAATTAAAACACGGGCTGTCATAGGACAGAGAGCTCTTTTAAATGCATTTAAAATGATCTCTAAATATACTTTTAAAATTAATAACATTAATTAAATTAACATTTATAAAACTGTCTATTTATTTATACATTTAAAAGTTATTTTTAGATGCAATGTTTACTGATTAATTAATACAATTTAAATAAACATTTAAATGTCTGTTTATTTGTCCATTTTTTGTTCATTTGAATTGTGATTTATTTATATACATTTTTATGCTTTAACTATTAAATTGATAATTTGATTCTTCGTCTTATTTCTAACTGGCACTCCTGGTCCTCCATAGATTATTAGCCCTCCTGAATTATTAGCACCCTTGTACATTTTCCCCCCAATTTCTGTTTAAAGGAAAGAAGATTTTTCGAAACACACTAGTTTAAATAGCTAATTTCTAATAGCTGATTTCTTTTATCTTTGCCATGATGACATTTAAAGGCTTAATTAGGTTAATTAGGCAAGGTAATTTTTTGATGATGGTTCTGTAAACTATCGAAAAAAAATATTGCGTAATAGAGCTAATGATATTTACCTTAAAATGGTTTAAAAAAAATTAAAACTGCTTTTATTCTTGCCGAAGTAAAACAAATAAGACTTTCTCCTGAAGAAAAAATATTATAGGAAATACTGTGAAATATTTCTTGCTCTGGTAAACATCACTTGGGAAATATTTGAATAACTGTGACCTCAACTGTACCTGAAAAACTATGAACAAAATGATGACCCAAATTGCATTACACATTTATGCCAAGTTATGAAAATTATGCAAGGTAAAAATATCATCTAAACTGCATTAAATACAGTTTACGCGTTGAAGGGTTTGACCCTAATTGCATTAAACACAGGTTCATTTGCGAACAAGGCCAACACTGTGCTACCAACAGTTTGCAAGCATTAAATTTCAGGAGACAATAAACATCCTGAAATAAAACAATTGAATGTATCTCAAGCAACACAAATCAAACTTTAGTATTCCACAAAATATATTCTAGTAGCACTCAGAAAAAGTATTTTTAAATGCTATAGGTCACTTTACCTTTTTGTACATCTCGATCCAGGACCTCATCGAACAGCTTTTCTTGAACGTTTGGGGGAAGGTCTTCAATATCTTCAAAAGAAAAAGAAAAATAGCATCCAGTTACAACCTACACTCACTGGCCACTTTATTAGGTACACCTTACTAGTACTGGGTGGGACTCCCTTTTGCCTTCAGAACTGCCTTAATAAAACCACCCTAGAGATGGTTGTGCATGAAAATCCCAATTGATCAGCAGTTTCGGAAATACTCAGACCAGCTCGTCAGACCAGCGTGCCTTTGATTTTTTTTTTTTTCCTTTTTAAAAAATTTCCTAAACTATGTTTAAGAGACCAAGGACATTTTCACAGTATGTCTGCTAATATTTTTTCTCCTGGAGAAAGTCTTATTTGTTTTATTTCAGGTAGAATAAAAGCAGTTTTTAATTTCATAAAAAACATTTTAAGGTTAATATTATTAGCCCATTTAAGCTAACTTTTTTTTTTTCGATAGTCTACAGAACAAACCATTATTATACAAAAACTTGCCTAATTATCCTAACCTGCATATTTAACCTAATTAACCTAGTTAAGCCTTTAAATGTCACTTTAAGCTGTATAGAAGTGTCTTGAAAAATAACTAGTCAAATATTATTTACTGTCATCATGGCAAAGATAAAATAAATCCGTTTTTAGAAATGAGCTATTAAAACTATTATGTTTAGAAAAATTTGTTGAAAAAAATCTTCTCTCCGTTAAACAGAAATTGGGGGGAAAAACAGGGGGGCTAATAATTCAGGGGGGCTATTCTGACTAATAATTCTGACTTCAACTGTATGTACATGATATACGCTATTTTGATGTTACAAAAACTTTTTAGCAGTAAAAAAGGTCACACTTTACAATAAGGTTCATTAGTTAATGTTAATTAATGCATTTACTAACATGAACAAACAATGAACAATACATTTACCACTGTATTTGTTCGTGCTAGTTAAGGTTAGTTAATGAAAATACAGTAGTTCATTGTGAGTTCATGTTAACTCATGGTGCATTAACTAATGCTAACAAGCATAGGCTTGGATGTTAATAATGCATTAGTAAATGTTCAATTATGATTATTAATGCTGTACAAGTGTTGTTCATGATTAGTTCATGTTAGTAAATGCATTAACTAATAAACCTTATTGTAAAGTGTTACCGTAAAAAACTACAATACAGATTATTGAGCTGAAGCTTGACTACAAAATTAAATTGCAAATAAAATCGAAATCTCAATTTCTGTCAAAAAAATAATTAAATTGATATTTTTCCCACAGCCCTAGTTGATATCACTTTTATATCGTCTAAATGCGAATTGTGTCACTGTTTTGGAGCACACTAGCTTATAGATATCCTAAAAACTAACAATATTCATACTAACATGTAAAAAACTTTATTTTAATTTTATGGGACCTTTAATAAGGGTAAAACGACCACCAAAGAGCCCACTCATTAACCAGTGACTCATGCGGTCTGAATGTGTGAGATCCTGGGGCAGAAGGGAAATTTTTTTTTCATGTTTAGAAATTGTGAGTGATCACCTGCTGGTAATGTAAAGGTGACGAGGTCTGTGAAGAAGTAACAGGGGAATTCGCCTTTACGTCTGTGTAGTGCTGCCGCCACCTCTCGGCGGATCTGTTCTGTTAACTCAGGACACACCAGAGCCGGTATACACTTTGCCGTCTGCTGAGACACCTGAAATACATTTACAAATACATAATCATTTTTGCAATATCACACTGTAAGACTTATTCTCTTCATGGGCTGCACAATATATCATTTCAGCATATCTTGTCAGGAGTGTAGTTGACCAGGCACCACGGTTTAGAAAATGTAATTTGTGGAAGTTTACATGGATATCAGTAGTCTTATTATTTGCCTTAATCTGAATAAGACAATAGTATGATTAACCCCTTGTGTGTTATTCTATCACTTTGTTATGTTTGTGGCTGTTTTTGCCCCATTGACTTCCATTATAATGACATTTTTTGTTAGCAAAGCCTTCACACTAAATTATCATGCATTCTTGATTGTTAATAAGAGGGAAAATGTTAGATTTATATACTGTTAATAATCAGTTGGCTGCATTAACCTTTTAGATAGGCCTGTGCTGAAAGGTTTCTGGCGTTTATATGGAGTGTGTGTGCATACACTTACTGTGTTTACTATGTTCTAAGCTTATATATATATATATATATATATATATATATATATATATATATATATATATATATATATATATATATATATATATATATATATATATATAAGTCTGCTTATATTTTGTTCTCAAACATAATAAGGTAAGTGTGCCGAGGTTTCTCTCCCACTTACACAAACACACACTATACTCCATATTTTTTTGGCACTGTGACTGATGACCAACAGTGAAACAAATCACAAATTTGGGTTAAAGTGTTTACATGAGCTGCTTTTTGAATGTTCCTTTCATGTACCAGTTTTACATATTATAGTGCATATTTGATTAACGTCATTACACCACCATTCAATGCTAGATTCCTCCAGCGTTTCACACATCAACAGTTCGTGTTCGTCTTTATAGCACTGTGTGATTTTGGTTGTTCTGTTTTTAATTTTGCGACAAGTTTAACTGCAGTTAATTTCTCACACACTATGCATGCATAGCAAAAAGACAACAACATCTGTTAATTCAATTTCTGTTTAGATTAATTATGACTTTAGTTGGATTAAGGTAATCAAAAATGTACATGGTAAATTCTCTTAATCAGATTATTGTTTATTTATTTATGGTTTATTGCCATATCAGCAGCATTGACTGTATTCATGGAAAACTTATACTAATTATACAATGCATAACATGCATCTATGACTGTTTCTTAATTTATTGTACAAAAACATTAAAATATCAACATCACTCACTGAAAAAGAGTCATACAATCTTTTAGTTTGAATAATATTCTAAAATTTCTACAGAAGATACCTTTTTTACTTTTTAAATATTTCTTAAATAAAAAAAAACTCTCTAATTTAAAAATACACATTCTAATAAAATATGTTTTAATTAGAGTATTGTCTTAATTGTGTTAAAATTAGAGTATTAATGTTCATGTAAACATACTCAATGTTTATCATTTGCATGTTTTTTTTAAAGGCGTAGTTCACCCAATAATTGACATTTCTGTCATAATTTACTCATCCTCCACTTATTCTAAATCTGTTTGCGTTTCTTTCTTTTGTTAAACACAAAGGAAGATATTATGAAGAATGTTTGAAAAAAACATCCATTGACATCCATAGTGTTTGTTCCTACTCTGGATGTCAATGGCTGCTTTTTTTTTTACCATCAATCACAATAGAGCTGCACGATATTGAAAAAAAACCCCAAAAAAACAGACGCTCTGACATTTTGTTTGACTGTGATATATTTTGATATTTTAATATGATTTCAGAAGATGACTTTAATGGAAAGATGAATAATTTTAAACTGATTAGGGGAGAATTTGCATAAAATTATAACAAACAAATTCAAAAGTAGATGAATACAACTGCAAGTTATAAATAGGTAAAAATGTTTTAAGATTTTCTGTGGAATTAACAGTATTGAGGTGCTAAAATAACACTGTAATTGTGCATTTCATTGTATACGCCATTGTATAAATTCACTTCATTGTATAAATAGACCTAACTAAATACTATTAATCTTTGTTTAAACTTTATAACTTCTTAGTTTAAACTTGCTTGAAAACTCACAGGTCTTAAAAACGCATGCAAATGAAAATATTTCACTCTTTTGGGGTTAAACTTCATGATGACCTCAAAAATCACATATTTTTAACTGTAGTGGCTTGTTATTATAATCCCACTTTGACACTACAGATCCTTTGATATCGATGCTGAAACAATATATTATGCAGCCCTTCATCAGAATATGTACTTTTGTCTTCAACAGATTCGTAAACACACTGAAAATAAATATTCAAAGATGATTCCTTGGATTTACTAAATTTTTTTACGTTAAGTGGTTGTAAACAATTTATTTGGGCTGAATTTAAACAAACAAATTAAGTTGAACACAAATAAATTGTTTACAACAGTTCTGCATGCAACACTTTTTTTCAGTGCATTTAGAAACAGTGTGAGTGAATGGTGAGGAAACTATAATTTATGGGTAAACAATCCTTTCAGGTTTGTGACTGTGTAAGCATTTCAAGTTTAAAGCAATCTGCACATTAAAATTAGAGCTAGAAGTGTGTAGCTTAAATAAAGATTTGTATTTATTTAAACAATGTGGACTGTCCTGTGTTATTTTACATTTGACTATTCAAGAAAACCCTAAAGCAGTATTTATTTCATTAGGCTTTCTGCCCTATTGTGTTTATCTGTGCTTGCAATTTGTTTATTATATTTAATGCAGATGCTTTCCCTTTTAACAAAATCAACCCAATCAATCTAAAATTATGATTTTTTTTCCAAACAGACCAAGTCAATTGTATTAATTGTGGTGAAATTGTATTAATACTGTAATATATACAGGGTTTGAATTACAGGGGGGTTTTGGGGTGGTTTGACCTTGACATTGATGAATGTAAAAACAAGATATGTGGTGGGTCTTCTGTTTAAATAGTGGAAAACAGTTTGCACCGACCTGTATTTTTAACAGTTATGTTAATGATAAAAATAATCAAAATAAATACATTCCTATAATGGTTCATACCATTGTGAATACATAAACACTGGCAGATCTAGCCGACCGATAGACACTGTAAGTGTTCAAAAGACAGCTTTCCTGATAAACAGGTTTTTGTGAGCACATATAGCCTTAATTAAATTCAAATTAGACTCATAGTGTGTATTTTAATAGATGCCCTAAACACCAATGCTTGCACATGACGATCTTTCATAATCATACATTTGCAATCAGTATTATTTACATATTTTATATAACCACAACACAGTAAATATACCCATGCAACATCAGTTTGTTTTGGTTACATATACTGCAACATTACTCTCTTCTGATCTCATGTATGCAGGTGTAACTGACCTCTGTGAGCAGCACCGCCAGCATGTCCTGTCTTTGGAAGCGGATGGCCAGATGCACCAGCGTGAAACCAGCATCAAACGCAGACGGACGATTTAGAATCCGCACCTCGTCTGCGGTGAGCTGACGTGCAATATCACCGCCGGATGATTTATACGCCTCCACGGCGGCCAGATCCCCCTCGACTACACCTGAGAAAAGTGGGCGTTAAATACGAGTGAGTGCATTTCCCTTTTTCACAAGCTTTTAATGTTGCTGTATGAGTATTTAGATACAGATTCCCACTGATCTGTTGGAGCTATTGGAATTTCCCAGAAGACAACGATGCTGTGATAGAGATCAATGAATATATACTCTGATACAGGAAGCGAACAGAAGTGTTCCCTACAGTAGCAGAGCCTAGAGAGAGAATATCTGTCAGTTTGCATCAAACCATGCACACACACACACAAAGCGTCTCCCACCGGCTTTGTGATGAAAATAAAGGTTTGATGCCAGCTGATATCAAAAGACCGAGCTATGACTTTCCACTTCACATCACAGTAAAACATGCCAATCAAAGTAATGCAATGTGTAAGCCTTAGACAAAAAGAGGCTGTGGATGAATCCTAAACACTTAAGCAATGCTTTATAATCTCTAGAACACTTTAGTCTATGTTAACACTTTTAAAGTAGATTAGTTAACTAACAATGGACAATACTTCTAGGGAATTAAAATAAGTAAAAGTTGACACACAAACAAAATATTCTTCTGTTTTAGTTCATGCTAATACATTAGATCTTATTGTAAGTTTCAAGGCAATGGATTTTCTAGAAATGTGTGATTATTAGGGATGCTTCAATCAGGATTTTTTTCAGCTGATACGGAGTACCGATTCCTTGTCATTGTGATCAGCCGATACAGAGTACTGATTTTGATACTTTAAGTTTCTGCAATGGCTTAGTTATATAAGCACATTTTCTCCCACTACTGGACTCAGCTTCCAGAAATGATCAGATGTGCTCCAACATTAGGCACGTTCAAATCGAGACTGAAAACACATCTGTTTAGCAGTGCCTTAACTGAATGAGCACCGTGCTACGTCCCACAGATCGCACTATTATGTCCTTCTTTTCTTTTTCATTCTTTTATAACCCGTTTTAACACATTTTAATCTGTTTTTAATCATTTTTAATACTTTATTTTATTGTGTCTTTTATTCTTGTTTATGTAAAGCACTTTGAATTGCCACTTAGTATGAATAAATAAAAAAATTAAAAAAGATTAAACAGATGGATTGCTCAAGAGCGCCATTAAAGGCGTTTACGTTGTTACATAAAAGTGTTTCAAATAAATGCTGCCAGAAATATATCATGGTTTGCGCAAAATAAATATTAAGCAGATTTTTATCATTAATAATTATTATTTTTGAGCACTAAATCAGCATATTTGAATTATTTCAGAGGGAACTTGTGACACTAAAAACTGAATTAATCATAGAATATTTTTGTTTTGCCATCACTAGACCAAAATTACATTAAAAATCTGAAAATAGAAAATACTTATTGGAAAATCTAGTATTTTTTCATAATATAGATTTTTTAAATCAAATGAATTCAGAATCTGATCAACAGGAGCTTAAAAATAAAAAAGAAATTGCACTGAACCCCAAACTTTTCAATGGTGAAATATAGAGCGAGACACTACATTAGGGGTGCCCAAACTTTTGCGTATAAAGGGTCAAAAGCCAAATATGACTGAGAGCCATGGGCTGAAGGTAAATATACCAAGCTATATTACATTAAAGTTGCCATGGGTAATTACCTAATTCATTTCATAAGATTAAAAAATAAATAGAAAACATGACTTCAAATCATATTAACTAATGCAGCAAAACATTTAAAATGATAACCTATTGCAATAAAAACATAACCAATCACATTTATTACACAGTGGAGTTCAGTGATGAATACACTAGTGAAGCAGAATCTGCCTTTGCCTTGATTTGTCCTCTATCTGTCGGGTGGCAGTATTAAACTACATTTGTTTAATTTACACTATTTAATTGAAATATTTAATTTCAGTTAGCTTTTAACAATAAAACAAACAAACAAAAGGTTTCATTAGATTTTAAATGACAACCTCTAAACCATGCCCATTATTCTCTCTCTCTTCTCAGATGGGATGGTGGGCCAAATCAAAGGTTACTATGGGCTAACTTTGGCCCCCAGGCCCTAGTTTGGGCATCCCTGCTCTACATAATGATTTAAAATGATAAAAAAACAAATAGGCCGTTTAAAAAAAAAAAAGAGAAAGGCATCTGAATAAAACTACCAGCTTATTAAAATAAAATGAACAAGATAAATTCAAGTTTGCAAACAAAAGATGTCCTGCATGAGTGCAGACACTCAATCTAATGCAAACACATTTTAAAAAGATACCTTAAAGGGACAGTTCACCCAAAAATAAACATTTACGCAATATTTACTCTCCTTTAAGTGTTTCCAAACCACTTACGAGTTTCTTTACTCTGTTGAACACTAAAGAGGATATTTTGAAGAAGGCTGAAAACCTATAACCATTGACTTTCATAGTAGGAGAAACAAATACTACGGAAGTCAATAGATACAGGATTCCTTCTTTATTCCAAATTTCTTCTTTTGTATTCAACACAAGAAAATAAAACCAGTTTGGAGCAAGTAAAGTGTGAGTAAATTATGACAAAATGTAAAATTTTGGGTGAACTATCCCTTTAAGTGCCCAAATGGTTCGAGGAATCCATATCCGGCACTAATGGAGCGAATTTCTCACCAGCACAGGCGTTCAGGAAGAGCCAGTCGCTTCTCCTCATCCTATTCCGGATCTGTTTAAGCTTTTTAAAGTCCGCCTCCTGCTCATTATCGCTGCCCACCGCTCCCGATGCCAGCTCAATCTTCACCTCCGCCTGCCCTTTACACATGGGCGGAGACAGTTTCCTCAGCCTGCCCCTGCTCCCCCCACCACCGCCCCCCGCTGTCCTTACATTCTCTCGCTCCTGCTCGTTCACTATCGAGGGCGACGTTGCACTTTCCGCCTCCGAATCCTGCTGGAGCGTCTCAGGTGAGCCGCTGGGTTTAGGATGGTCGCACACCACACACCTGAGACTCTTTGGCCAGTTCTCGTAGGTGCATGCATGTTAAGCCGGTTACGGTCATTATATTCCTCACATGGGTCAGAGGTCACCGGGGAGGGTCTGGATCCTGATGTTTGAGGGGTTTCTGATGGGCTGAGTGGGCTGTGTTGTTGGGATCCCTGCTGCCTTTGACTTAGACACTGTGTGCAGCGGATAGCACGTGGCCAGTTTAGGTATGTGCACATGTGGCAGGACCACTTGCTGCTGGTTTCGGGCAGCTCATCTGCAATTCTTACCCGAGGGCGAGCGCTGGAGTCTGGGCAGATGAGCAGGGTGGAGCCCCCCTGTGTGGTGCAGAGCGACGGGTCCAGGCTGGAGCTGCTCTTGAAGGGTTCCTCTGTGATGATGGGTGCGTTGTGCCTTTGTGCCCGACACATGGTGCATTTGATAGCAGACGGCCAGTTCTCGTAGGTGCAGTACTCGCAGCTCCACTTCAAGCCCAGATCTGTCATCCTCGCTCAGGCCGGTCACCGCAGCTGATCACCCCCCCCCCACCCTCCCGCCCGCCAGTTCTCCGTTCTTCTCTTGCGTTCGCCCGCTTGCAGTCACAGCGGCTCCAGTTTCTCCTATAAAGTAATAAAAGGTAGACAAAGTTTAGTTCCAGGGGTGCCCGAGGGGTTAAATTTGGGCCTTGAAAAGTCTTAAATTCACTGAAATAATATCTTCATTAATCAATTTCCTTCAGCTTAGTCCCTTATTTATCAGTGGTGGCCACAGCGGAATGAACCACCAACTATTCCGGCATATGTTTTGCACAGCGGATGCCTTTTTCAGCCACAATCCAGTACTGGTAAACACACATACACTCTTGCATTTACACACATGCACTCATACACACTACAGCCCATTTAGTTCATCCAATTCACCTATGCCCCATGTGTTTGGACTGTGGGGTAAACCGTCTTAAATGGGTCTTACTTTCCCTTTGTTTATGTAAAGCTACGCAATTGAACACACTATAAAACTTTTAGCAAAACTATTAATAACTAATATTATAACAGTCTGTTGTGCATACATTTAGTTTTGTTAAAGTTATTGAATAGAAAAATTATAGTATTTATACAACTAGGGAACAACTTGACACATTATTTAAAATATGCGGCTGAGAAATAACTCATTAGAATTAAAAATGCAACCCTTTAGCCTTATGCAAGTCTAAAATTTCATTCTTCATGGTCTTCAAATGTATTAAATTTGACGTAGTGAAATCTGCAGAAACCCCGAGTCCTCAGTTTGAAAGGAATAATGCTGATTGGCAATGTTAAAGGAACAGTTCACCCAAAAATTCAAATGCTGTCCTCATTTACTCAACCTTCATTTGTCTTTCTTCTGTTGAACACAATGTTTTGAAGAAAGCTGGAAACCTCTTACCATTGACTTTCATAGTATTTGTTTTGTATGAAAGTCAATGGTAACAGCTTTCTAGCTTTCATCAAAATATCCTCATTTATGTTTATCAGAATAAAGAAACATATAAAAGTTTAGAACCACTTGAGTGAGAGTAAATGGACCCTTTTCACATTTACGGGTTTCTTAGTAGTGGAAGTCGCTATAGTTAAGTAAATAAAAAAAAAAATAAAAATCAAGACTTGCAGAAAAAGGAAAAAAAACAATTGTGAGACTGATAACAGCAGCCAGAAGAGAGAACAATGTCAAATGTACTGTCCTGGCCTATAAATGCTACATTAGAAACCCCTCACACAAGCGGTAATTTGATGGTAATTTGATGCAAAGATGATGCAAAGATGATGTAATGTAATGTATGTAATGTGTATTGATATAGTGCATTTATTGTGTATGGTCATACACCCAAAACGCTTTACAATCATGAGGGGGGTCACCACCACCAGTGTGCAGCATCCACTTGGAAAATTGATAAAATACATACAGAAATACATATAAATGTTCATACGTTTTTAAAACTTCTGAATATTAAAAACTTTAAAGGATTTAAGATAATGATGACTGTTCAACGCGTCTTCTGAAAAGAGCCCATAGTGAGCAAATGTTTATTTTTGGGTAAATCTCTTGTGGATTTACAGTGGGCCAAGTTCATTTATTAGCACATGAAAAGATACTATAGTAATAGTAAATACTATGGTGTTTTTTTTAACCATACTGACAGCTCAAACAGAGATAAAGATGTTGAATAATCAGCTAAAATGTGGATAGAATTGTTTTTAACAGGTATGGGCGATTATATATTGCATCACCAAAAATGATTGAGGTCACATCCATGTGTTGTGCGATAAGTCGATATATATTGATTATTGTGACAGGCCTAACCATTTACCCCCCAAAAAAGAAATTCTCAAATGAAAAGGTACTGACCTTAAACTTTAAAGTGTATATTATAATACCCCCTTTAGTTTTAAAGTGTATGCAAAAGCTGATTATTCATGTTTTGCAGCTACACTTGATAATATTCCAAGTGCATCTTGTGCTTCAATGGACCTTTTGTACAAAGGAGTTACATGGTCGATGTCACAAATTTGCTTACATTTGATTAGTGACCTAGAAAAAGTGAAGGATAGTTTTATTTTTATCCCTTCTTTGTTAGAAATGGAGAAATATCCCTGTTTACTGAAAGAGTTTAAATTTGGACCCCACTGTAGTATATTTGTTTACACTTTAATAAATAGTTTTTGAATGACCTGAATTCACCTCCTGTGAATTTCTTTTTCAATTATTTCCCAAATTATGTTTAACAGAGGAAACATTTCCACAGTAATTCCTACAATATTTTTTCTTCTGGAGAAAGACTCATTTGTTTTATTTTGGCTAGAATAAAAGCAGTTTTTAATATAATATCAAGATTATTAGCCCCCGAACAAACCAATCATATAAAATGACTTGTATTACTTAACCTAATTACTTGCTTAGTTAATCTAATTAACCTAGTTAAGCTTTAAAAAGTCACTTTAAGCTGATTACTAATATCTTTAAAAAAATCTAGTAATATATAAATGTCATTATGGCAAAGATAAAAGAAATCAATTATTAGAAATTAGCAGTGATGGAAAGACAGCTGAAAAATTATACTCAAGTAAAAGTACCATTACTTGATTAAAAATGCAGTGCAAGTAGAGTAAAAGTATCTGTTGTGAATATTACTCAAAGTATGAGTGAAAAGTAGCCCTTTTAAAAGTACTCATGAGTAGTGAGTATTACGCAGTTAGTCTGATGCGTTTACATGTAATTTGTGCATGTGTGTATAAACGTAACATTCTGTGTGGTGCATGTAGTTATTGTCCAGCAGGAACACAACATCATAAGATAATATTAATATTAGGTAATAATTTATATTAGATAATAATATTAATAATAGGTTAGATTTAGGTTGTGATGTCAGGTGACCAAAATTCAATGTTTAGCCAGCGTCTAAGGACAATGTTATTTTGATGTCCAATAATGACGTCAAATGATGGTGATATTTGTTCGATTTAAGGTTGTGTTTGAAAATAACCAAAATCCAACGTTGAGCCAACATCTTAAACCAACGTCATATTGACGTCAAATGCTGACATTTATTTGTCAGTTATGGCAACCGAAATGCAACATCTCATAGTGGTAACATCAGAAGTTCTTATTTGGTCGGTTTTAGGTTTGAACCTTGAACATTTACGTTGGCCTGAAGTTGGATTCTGATTTCAACCCGATTTTCATTTCCAAACAAAATGCAACAACCCCATGACGTCAGGGTACAATGTCAATCTGACGACATGTTGACATCTTGTGCCTGCTGGGTGTTTAAGTCCATTTTGGTCATCATACAGTAAACATCCGTCATCTTCTCATCAGTGACATGCATCTAAACAGTCAATGCGTGTAAAGATTTTGAACATCTTCTTGGGCATTTTTAATGCTTCCAAACTATTTTCTGCAATTTTAGATCGCCCATGTCTTGAGGTAGTTCATGATGATGAGATTTACCTTCTATGTGCCGTCTGATTGGACATGAATCACAGGACTGATTTTTCTAATCCCCATAGACCAGGAAAAATAAAGTAGAGACTGCAGGTTGAAGGAAAGTAGTGGAGTAAAAGTACCAATACCCTACTAAAAATGTACTCAAGGAAAAGTAAAAGTACACATTTATAAAAAAACGACTTAATATATTACAATTCCTGAGAAAAACTACTCAATTACAGTAATTTGAGTATTTGTAATTAATTACTTTACACCACTGGGAATTAGTCATTAAAACTATTATGCTTAGAAATGTGTTGAAATAATATTAATTCTGACTTTAACTGTTTTTAAGAATCAACTAAATGTGTTAAAAATACACACATCACTATCTGATACAATCAGTGTAACACATGCATTAACTTTTTGCAGGGGTATTTGTACAGTTTCCGCTTTTTTGACTGTCATGTTACCATGCATTTGTTTAAAATTCTGTAACATTAATGCAAAGCGATGCAAAGGTTTGACAAAATTATGATAATGAAAGCTTTTCTCTGGGTGACATGGTGACCAGCATTTCTGTGTGGAGTTTGCATGTTCTCCTAGTGTTGGCGTGGGTTTCCTCCGGGTGCTCCGGTTTCCCCCACAGTCCAAAGACATGCGGTATAGGTGACTTGAATGAACTAAATTAGCCGTAGTGTATGAGTGTGTGAATGAGTGTGTATGGGTGTTTCTCAATGATGGATTGCAGCTAAAAGGGCATACAATGTGTAAAACATATGCTGGATAAGTTGGCAGTTCATTCCGCTGTGGCGACCCCTGATGAATAAAGGGACTAAGCCGGAGGATAATGAATGATGCTTTTCTCTAGGTCTCTTCATACAGTAACAGACACAGAACTCTTTATTTTTGTCTTTATATTGTCTTCAATTGATGTGAATGACCTTAACAGTTTCTATTTTCTGCACAAAAACAATCACAATACATTTATTCTCAAAGGCTTTTAGTCAGTAAAGTTGTTCAAGACTCTGGATTATTCCTGACAGTCCAAACAGGTGGGCTTGACAGAGATGAATCCAGCTCACTGGGGCAAACGGTCACATCCTTTGACCTACATTCCTACACTCTCATTTGGTTATTGGACTAGATTTTGGTTATTAACATTTGTTTAAAAAAAGAGACGGCCTAGATTTCCCTGACTAGAATGTAGTAAGGTGGTAGCATGGTGCAGAGATATTATGAATCTGGTAGTTATACTATAAGAGTCGCATACCACAGAATTTACACAGCTTGTGGAAAAAATACCATGGTATTGTCAAGGCATAGGTCCAAAAAGGGACTTTCCTCATAGAAGTATTACAGCATTTGGCACTTCTGTGTTCAATTTAATTCATGTTTATTACTATAGCACGTTTACAATGCAGATTATTTCAAAGCAGTTTAACATGGAAGTTTTAGCACATTGAAACTGCTTCAGTCCAGTTTTCAGAGTTGAAGTTCAGTTCAGTGTGGTTTGAACATTTACACATTTAGTCACATTTAGTAATG